AGCTCATGCTGGGTTACAGGACTTGGGTGTACCTGTCCCCTGCAGGGCGTGCTGGGTTAGAGGCTCCAGGAGGTGAGCATGTGGACCCGCCACAGGCCCGGCCCGCTGGGAGAAGAGGTGAAGCTGTCCACTTCACCTTCGTGGCCCCAGGTGCTAACCCTGCTTCTCCCACTCCACCACACCTGAACTGGCTAGTGCTAATTGCTCCCATGAGTAACACTGAGCACTTCTCCATGCCAGGAACTGCAGACCCTCCTTCAGTCCTGTCACCTCACGAAGGAAGAGACTAAGGGTAGAGAGGGTAATCCTGGGCCCGAGCTCCCACGGCAAGTACGCGGCAGTCAGGGTTTGAATTCAGGCCCTGGGCGAGTGCCGAGGTGGGGATGGGAGTTAAGCGAGACACCAAGTAAAGGTCTCCACTGAGTCCGGGAGAGCCTGGGAGTCAGCGCTCCCAGCCTGGGCTGTGCCACAGGGAGCCAGGGTCTGCGGGAGCCCAGAGGAGCCTGGGTGGGGGCCAGAACAGGTGGCTTTGAGCAGGGTTGCCTGAGGCAGAGGGTACTGGCAAAGGCGCAGATGTCCCCCAGGGACTTAGGGCCAAGGGAGGCAGAGTGAGGTCCAGGCTGGCTCTGGCCACATCTCTGCAGCTGGTCTGGGGCCACTGGGTGACGTCTAGGCCTTTGCTTGTCCCCTAGGTCCCAGTGTCCCCTCACTAACTTTGAGGGTCCAAGCTGAACAGGGCACAAGCAGCAGGGAACCTAAGTGACCTATGCAAACCAGGGGACACCTCCCCCCCACTCGAAGCACCTTCAAGATCTGCTGCCACACTGTGGACACAAAAGGAACTGCAGCAAATAAGGCAGAGGACCTCCTCAGCCCTGGCAGTGCCCCCACAGCTCTGGGGCCCGTTTCCAGGTTTTGAACCCCTTAGTATCTGCAATGGCCAGTGCAGTGGCTTTCATGTTTGTTTATTTTTAAAATTATTTAACTTTATTTATTCACTCATTTATTTATTTCAGTTTGACCAGAGAGGGATAAAGTGAGTGAGAGCAAGCAAGATGCCAGGTCTAGGACTCGAACCGTAGTCGACCATGTGGGAGTCCAGCACCCTTAGCCACCAAGCCACTTGCCCCTGTGTTGGTCCTGCTTGCCTTAAGCAGGGAGCCGGAGGAATCCTAAGTCTGATCACTCCCCTCCTCTGCTCAGTCTCCCATGGGAACCTGGCAGGATGCTGGAGCCACTTGCAGGAGCCAATGGCAAGCCAGTTGTTAAACACCATCATTACCAACAATTACGCTCTGTAAAATTAACGCTGCATTGAACCGTGGTTGCAATATTCAAAACCAAGTACTTATTTAATACATACTTTTGATTTGCTATAGGGCATGTGCACTTGGTAAGGTGGGGGTGGAGAGGACAAGTGAGAAATCAATCCCCCCTCCCTTGGGGGTAATGGCCATGCCACGATCCCTTCTCCATTCTCCTCTTGGGATTTTGGGCACGCACGCACACGCACCTGACACGGTTTTCCAGCCCCCAGGTCCAGGACTTAATCGCAGTTGGTCCTGTGGGATGAAGCCACCTGCTGGCTCGCTTCCTACGTGACTATTGTCTATGTCCTTTAAGGTAATGGCATCTACTGAATCTGTGGCGGGAACATGATATAATGTGCTACTCAAATCTCTTCACAATTTCTGTTCAGCGACTTGATTTTAATAGCTTGAAATCAGCCTGGTGGGAGTATTTACACGATGGAAACGGGCAAACACCACAGATCAGGTTTGATTTATTGCTGACGTTCTGGACCAGTGCGATCCAGTAGGAAGGCAAGCAAGCCACCAATGGCATTTTAAATTCTCGAGTCTGATTTGAAACAGTAACAGCAAACAGGTGAAATTAAATAGTACGTTTTATTTAACCCAGTATGTCCAAAATAGTAGCATTTCAACAAGTAATCAATATAAAGTTATTAATGATTTTCCATTCTTTTTACTCCTCAAAACCTGGCGTGTATTTTATACTTACAGCACATCTCAATTCACACTCAGCATGTTTCAAGTGTGCAACAGTCAACGTGTCCGGGACTACTGTATCGGATGGCAGAGGTCTGGAATTCAGAAAGTGATGAAGCGCATGTTTACAAGTCAGATTAAATGGCAAAGTGCTAAGGCTGAAGCTTTTAATTTTTTTAAATAATTATTTACTTAATTTTATTCATTCATTCTTTTTTGGGGGAGAGGTTTTTGCTATAGGGTGTGTGTGTTCACCAGAAAGACAGAGACAGAAAGCGAGAAATCATCCCCTAAGAAGGGATGGCCATGCCACAATCCCTTCTCTTCCATTCTCCTCTTGGGAACTTGGACACGTGCACACACACACCTGACGCATGTTTAAGCCACTGGGTCCGGGACTCGAACCATGGTCGACCACATGGGAGTCCAGTGACACAGCCATTACACCAACTGCTGGTTCCCATTCATTCATTTTGAGTATAGAGAGACAGAGACACAGAGAGAGTGTGAAAGTCACCACTTGGACCGTCATTGGCCATGTGGAGTGTCCCCCAGCGCCTTAACCACCACGTCACCTGCTGGCCCCGGCTACATGTTTTTAGATGAGAACTCAGCGGGTCACGTATCAGACTTCACAATAAGCTTAAGGGGAAAGGGCAGTAAGCTGAACAGCTGTCCTGAAGGCACAAGGTTCTAATTCCTGGAACCTGTCATGTTACCTCATTAGGAAAGGGGTCTTTTTTTTTTTAGTTATTTTATTGAACTTTACTTATTCATTCATATATTTATTTATTTTAATTTGACCAGAGAGGGACCAAGTAAGAGAGAGAAAAAGTGAAAATGCAAGCCGCCAGGTCCAGGACTCAAACCGCAGTCAGCCATGTGGGAGTCCAGCACCCTTAACTAAACAACTATGCCACCTGCTGGCCCTGGAAAGGGGTCTTTAAAGATGTGGCTTAAGATCTTCATGGGGGGGTGGCCAGCAGGTGTTATGGTAGCTAAGGTGCTGGACTCCCATGTGGACAACCATGGCAGTTTGCTTTCTTACTTTCCCTTTCAGTGTCTTTGGTCAAATGGAAAAATAATTATAAAATGAAATAAAAAATGCTTTAAAAAAAAGATTTTCATAGGGGGCAGTTATTTTAGACTACTCAGGTGGGTCCCAAATCCAATCTTAAATGTTCCGTTAAGAGGCAGGGGGAGACATGGTACTGATAGGCAGGGGAGGCAAGGCCCCGCGCCTCGCCCCACCCAGACACACCTGCTTCATACCCGTGCACCGGCACCGCCGGGCAGAGACTGGAGCCGTGGCTACGAGGAGTGCCTACAGTTTCCGTTAGCGGTTCCCACTAGAGCCTCTGTCGGTCCTGCCGACACTGATTTCAGCCCAGGGATTGTAATCGCTGATTTCTAGCCCCTAGAACTGCGCAAGAAAAGATGTCTGCCGTTCTGAGCCATCGAGTTTGTGGTAAGCTGTTCCCCCAGCCACAGGAAACTCACACGGGCAGATAAGCAGCAACTCCCTCTGTCGAGTCGTGGTTTGGTTACAACCGCAGGCAGGCTACAAAAAAAAGTCCAGCGACAGAAACCAGCCGAGGCGCTCTGCGAGAAACAAGCAGCTCTGCGGAGTTCACTAGCGTGTCCTGTTCTATGAGCTACAGTGGACGTGCTGCGGGCTTTTACAGCAGGGCAGGTCATGACGGATAACCTGTGTGTCCATGGCGTCGTTTACCAGGTCTGTCCTGACTCTCCAGCACTGAGCTTGGCACAGAGCAGGCTGCTCCATGTTTTTGACTATGACCCGGGGCCAGCCCCTGACCTCTCTGGGTCTGTTTCCAGCCCCACACAACAGGGCTGAGCACAGGAGCAGGCTGTGGGAGGGCACCTACTGTGAGACTGGGCTGGGAAGAAGGGGTGATGGGACTCAGGAGACGGCTAGAAACCAGTAGGTAACAGGGAGAGTGGGGCTGTGGGACCACTCAGACGATGTCACAGACAAGGTATAGAGCCTGAAGCCCGTGACAAGGCCGAAGCCCCTTCCTCTAGCCCCTGCTAACTCTCGATCCTGCAGAGCAAAGGGCCTCTTGCACGTGGAGGCTGAGAAGCGCCTGGGCCTAACTGTCAGCTAGGAGGGTCCCTCCTGGGACCTAACCATGTCCCAGCAGTCAGGGGCTCCACTGTGAGGGCTTGCTCACTTCTGCCATAGTCCCTTCCCCTCTCAGCTCGTCTTCTCTCTCCAGGGGATCCGGGCTCAGCGGCTACCTCTGCAGGCCTAACTGGCCACAGGCCAATGCAGTCATACCCTGGCACTGGCTTTCAGACTGAGTCCTGGCAGCCACTTTACCCCTCAGGACTCCCTTCCCTGATAAGTGGGCAGTTAAGTCTCTTGTCTGGGTTTCAAGTTTGGTCAAGTGGACTGTCCCTGGGCACTGAAACAAGACGAGGGGGCTCCAGCCTGGCCCAGGAGGGACTAAAGCCCTCAGGCCCCCAGCCTCACCCCACCTAGACACATCTGTGACACCCCTGTGCCCATGTCCTACGCTGTGTTGGGAACATCCTAAATGCAGTGTCCAGAAGAGTTTTGCTCCAGACTGCAGTCTTGGTGGGGGAGTGGCTAGAACGCAGTGGGAACTCACAAGCCGTCCAGAGAGCTGTGCCTCCCCTCCCTGGCCGGCAGCGTCTCTGCTCACACCCACAGGAGGCTCCCAGAACCCAGCAGGGTGTGATCCCTGGCTACTTGGGCACCACAGAACATGACGTCGACCCTCTTTGGACTGGGAGAAGCAATGGGCAGAGGACATAGCCACCTACAGCCACCAGCCCAAGGCTGAGCACACAGGAGGCTGGCTGGTGTCAGGTCCAGGTGGGCTCTCTGGGGCCCTCTGGGCACGATGAGCTCTGCCTCCTCACCCCCGCTCAGAGGTTAAGAAAATAAAGGGGTCCGGGAAGCACAGAAGGCAAGGCCTCTCTCACAACAGCATCAGACAACTGTTTCAAAATATATTAGATTTGGTTTTTATTGTAGAGCACACATATCAGGGCAAAGTGCTGCACACACAACTACAAATCATTTTTGGGAAAAAAGCTGTAAAAAAAATAAAACTGCAACTGCTTTAGTTATGCAGTCCCGACTGGAGGAATCCACGCTGGCAAACGAGTTCTGGCCCCCTCGGGGGCTCCTCGGAGGCCTCAGGTCTGGGCCTCTGCAGACAAGCCCCCTGGAGTGGTGGTAGCCTGGCCGCCGGGAGGACCTCTGTCCTGGGCAGACCCAGGTCCTCGACTGGCCAGCAAGAAGACATTCCTAATGAAACTGCCGCCTTCCAGGATCCAAGTGGGTAGAAACTGCCGAAGACTTCATCTTTTTTTTTTAATTTTATTTTTTTCCAAAGCCCCTTCCCAGCTCCCGTGCCCATGCGGCGGAGGAGGCACCAACCCAGTCTGCAGGCCTGAGCTTGGCCCTCCTGTGCGTGCTGCAGGCAGGCAGAAGGGGCAGGCCTTCCTGGAGGGGTGACCTGGGAGACAGCCCAAGCTGGCCACTGAAGGAGAAAGGAAAGGGAAAGAAAAAAGCCAGGAGACCAAAGGAAAAAGTAGAAACTCAAAACAAAAGAAAACAAAAACCCTACCACACACCACAACAATTTTCCATATCCCAAAAGCTAGACTTGGAAGGACACCAGTCCCTCTAGCTAGAAACAATTCCTAAAACTGACCCACGATGGCAAGTCTAACTGTTCCATACAATCACATGCGTATGCTTGGAAATAGCGACCCAGCAAAAAGGTGTGGTCCTGGCAGGAGAGGTCAGGACTACTGAGCTGGCCCCTGGGCAGCTCAAGGAACAGGGCAGAGCAGACCAGTGGGTGTGGAGGAAACCTCGGCCACAGCTCAGGGAAGCACCTGCCTGGCTGACCTAAACAACTCTGCCATGGGAGACAGAGGAGTTTGCGTGAGTTTCCGGGGCCTAGAGAGCAGGTGAGAGGTGGGGACAGCAGCCCCACTGGAGCTGGCAAAGCTCCAAGAGACCTTAACCAAGCGCAGACATCGTGGAGGAAAGGGGTGGGCAGAAAGTTCGATTTTGTCTAGAACACTGCGAAGATTTACATTTGAAGCAAAACGAGAATTTTCTTAACCAAAACATTGCGTTGCTTTTACAAAAACCCAGCCTAACACCGCCCCACTTAAAGACAGCTGCCCCCATACCACTCCTGGCCACTCCAGTGTAAGCCTTTGTCTCTACAGACACCAGCAGCCTTCCCATCCAGGAGGAAAACCAAGAACAACAGACCCAAGTCCTGACCAATTCTGTTCTTCGGCCTTAACAGGCAACAAGTCAAAAAAAAAAAAAAAAAAAAAGGATCAAAAAGAAAAAAACAAAAACAGAAAAACCATTAAAACAAAACAAGAGGATGGGCAGCTACGTGAGGGTCAGCCAGAGTCCGGGGTGGGGGCCTCAGTGCCTCCGCATCTTCACCTTCCGGGCAGGGCCGCCCGCTGCCTCCGAGCAGTCTTCCGTGGACTCATAGGACTTGCGCCAGTAGTTCTCTGAGCTGAAGCTACCCCTCCGCCGGTGCGTGGGGAGCAGCACTGAGCGCCGATTCTCCTCCTTGTCCATCTCCAGGATCCGTGGCCTGCGTGAAAAGGGGTGGTGGTGTTAGACAATGTGCGAGCACGGGGCCCAGCCTCAGAGTCCTTGTCCTTGGGGTGTCACTCCAGCTCAGCGGTTCCTGATGAAGGGTGTGATCTGCTATTGGCAGAAGCGCTGGCACTGAAGTCTGTCTCTGGAACATCTCAGTTACCCTGTGGGGCCTGCCTGGTTCTGAGTCTGTGCCTCAGGACACCATCAGGGCTGCTGGACGGCGCAGCCTTCCTTACCACAGCCTCAGGTACGTGGTCCTGCCACCTACGTCTGCCTGACATCCGCTCCTCTCTGCTCACCAACCTCACTAGATGCTGAGGCCACCAAGCTCTTCGCTGCCACTACTTTCTGACAGAATGCCCTTCTCGCCATCTTCCTCACCTCCTGGCCTCAGCTTAAACAGGACCTTAGAAACCTTCCCCAACCCTCTGAAAACAGCCTCTGGTTTGCCATCTTCCACGTCCCGAGATTCACTCCTATCAGCTAAGTACGAGTCCTCCAGAGCATTTGAGTGGGTGAGACTGAACGAGAGAAATCACTAGATGGCCCTTCTCCATCCCCGGCTGTCAGTCTCTGCCCAACCCTTCTCTCTGGAGACACAGGCAGTTGACCCAGGGCTAGTCGGGAATGCCACCAGTGGCACCCACCCCTGAGAACCCAGACATTGTGTTTGGGAATGGTGTGACCCCAAGCTCCTAGCCAGTCTAGCCCTCATATCTGCACCCACCTCACCCTGCATCTAGGCCAGTATCTGCTTGGGGCTGAGGGTCCTAAGCTGAGTACCTGTGAGCAGCATCAGGGTCTGCCTTGCGGTGGGATCGCTTGGGTTTCAGAGCAGGGTCCCTGTTTCCTGATAGGCGATCTGAAGCATAACTGGGTGGTAACACAGAGCTGCTCAGGGACTTGGTTTCCAACCGGGGTGCATCTAGTCTTGTCCTGCAAAAGAAACAGACATGCGGTAGCCAGGGGTCCTCTGGTGAGGGTACTGGTCCATCAGATCAATTCTCCCTCCAACCAGGCCAAGCAGAGCCCCAGAACCTGAGAGTCAGCACTTTCTGTTCCAGGCCTGTTCTCTGGGTTTCAGCTAGAGACTGGTCTAGCTGACCTCCAAGGAAATCTCCTTTTCCTTTTTAAAAAATTACCTATTGTTTTCTTAATTTGACCAGAAAGAGACAGAAAAAGAAAGGGAAAGGGAAAAGGCAAGCCACCAGGTCCAGGACTCAAACCACAGTCGGCCATGTGGGAGTTCAGTACCCTAACCACCACACTACCTGCTGGCCCCAGAAACTTCCTTCTTAAGTGCAGGCTCAGGAGTAGGGAATGGGAATGTTTGTTTGGAGACTTCCAATGACAAATCTGCCGTCCTAGGAGTCCTGGGTTCTTTTAGCTGAACAAAGCGGTCTCACCTCACTGCACACTACGGTTTGAATGTACCTCTAAAGTTCCCACATTGGCAACTTAATTCCCAAGGCAACAGTGTGGGAGGTGGGGCCTTTACAAAGTGATGAGGTTATAAAGGATTAAGGTTGTTACTGGGGAGCGGCCTCCTGAGAAGCTGGGTCTGCTTCCTTTGTCTCACACGCTTACTTCTGCCTTACACCAAAGGACAGCTCTTGCCAGATGCCAGCAATCTTGGGCTTCTCAGCCTACAGAACCATGAGCAAAAGACTTTTGTGCTTTAAAAATTACCCAGGTTGGGGAACCAGCAGTTAGCGTAATGGCTATGTCGCTGGACTCCCACGTAGTCGACCGCGGTTCGTGTCCCGGACCCGGTGGCTTAAAACTCACGCCGGGCGCGTGTGCGTGCGTGCCCAGGATCCCGAGAGGAGAATGGAGGAGAAGGGATTGTGGCGTGACCATCCCCCCTGGGGGGTGATTTCTCACTTTCTGTCTCTATGTCTCTCTCTGTCTGTCTGGCGAGTGCACGCGCCCTACAGTGAAAATCTCTCCAAAAAAAAAAAAAAATTACCCAGGTTGGGGCCAGCAGATGGTGTGGTGGTTAAAGGTGCGTTGGATTCCCACATGGCTGACAATGGTGAGTCCCGGACCTGGCAGCTTCCTTTCTCGCTTTCCCTTTCTTTCTGTCTCTCTCTGGTCAAATTAAAAAATAACAACAAATGGAATTAAATAAATTATATATTAAAAAAATTACCCAGGTTGGGGACCAACATATGGTGTAATGGTTACAACGCTGGACTCCCACATGGTCAACCATGGTTTGAGTCTTGGACCCAGAAGGCTTGCTAACTCATGCCTGGTGCGTGTGTGTGTGTGTCCCCAAAATCCTGAGAGGAGGAGGGAGGAGAAAGGATTGTGGCATGCCCCCCCTGCCCCCCCAGAGGAATGATTTCTCGCTTTCTCTCTGTCTTCTCAGGTGAGCGCATGCACCCTATAGAAAAAAAAAAAACCTCTCCAAAAATTAAAAACACCCAGTTTGAAGTACTCTATATGGCAGCAGAAAATAGACAAAGACATTCCAGTTAGGAGAACCCCATAGCATCTCCAGTGGCCAGAGGACCCCCAATGTGGGCACCAATACCCTCCGACAGATGCCTTTATCCCTGAATGAAATATCAAGAGAGACCCCTGGTCTGCTGCACTCCACATCATAAGCATGTTTGAATCCTACTACAGCCATCTGTTACCTGGGTGGTAACCAAGCAGAAGTCAGAGGGCATACATTTTTTTTAAACTGTAAGTATCAAGTGTACCTGTCGGAGACAGACCCAGAGGAACAGGGAGAAAGCACTCCCTGATGGGGCATGGTCAACTGTAACTCCCTTCTCTGCTCCTCCATCCAAACAGGGTTTTAGGCAAGCACATGCAACCAGTATGTTTACCAAGGTGCTAGGATCAGGATTCAAACTGTGGTAAGTCACGTGTCTTTTTTCTTTTTCTTTTAAGAATTACTTATTTTGGGACCAGCAGTTAGCGTAATGGCTATGTCGCTGGACTCCCATGTAGTTGACCACAGTTCACGTCCCGGACCCAGTGGCTTAAAACTCATGCCAGGCACATGTGCGTGCCCAAGATCCCGAGAGGAGAATGGAGGAGAAGGGATTGCGGCGTGACCATCCCAGGGTGATTTCTCACTTTCTGTCTCTATGTCTCTTTCTGTCTGGCGAGCGCATGCACCCTATAGCAAAAACCTCTAAAAAAAAAAAAAAAAAAAGAAAAGAAAAGAGATTTATTTATTTATTTATTTATTTTTAACTTGCTATAGTCATCAGAGAGAAGAAAAGTGAGAAAGCAAGCTATCAGATCCAGGACTTGAACTACAGCCAGTCAGGGGGGAGTCCAGTGACCTCACTACCACACCACCGGCTGGCCCTGGGATCTGGCTCTCTTAATCATAAAGCTATGGGAATGAGTCCCAGGGTGCCCCCCCCTCCTTTCTTTCTTTTATTCTTTTTTCTTTTCTTTTTTTTTTTGCTTTTTGCCATAGGGCATGTGTATTGGGGTAGGAGGGATAAGAAATCACCCCCCAGGGGAAATGGCCACATAGCAATCCTTTCTTCTCCATTCTCCTCTCAGGATTTTGGGCTTTTGGGCACACATGCACATGTGCCTGGGTGTGATTTTCAAGCTGCCAGATCTGGGACCACTCAAACCGTGGCTGGCCATGTGAGAGGACAGTGCCTTAATATACCAACTACTGGCTCTCAGAGATTTTTTTTTTTTTTTTTTAAAGAATCATTTAATTTTATTTATTCATTCATTTATTTTAACTTGACCAGAGAGAGAGAGGGAAAAAAAGCCACCAGGTCCAGGATTCAAACAATGGTTAGCCATGTGGGAGTGTCCAACACCGTAACCACAAGCGCCACCAGCCGGTCCCTCAGAAGGCTTTTTTATAAAGCTTCCCTGGATTACAGGCACATGTGTCCAAGTCCAGTATGTAAAGCGGTGTCTTGGGACACCAACCTGAACCTCCCATGTGGGCCCCGTTGCATGATCACTGTGAAACCATATGGCCCACCAGAGGCTCGTGAAGGGAAGTCCCCACCAGCACCAGCTATGAGTCTCAAGGAACACATCACCTAGTAAAGAGAAAACACGCAAACACGGGCAAGGAACAGGGGGATGGAGCAGCTAGGCAGAGAGCTCTCAGGGCAGTGACCCGAGTCCTCTTGAGAGCCAGATCAGAACAGGAAGAAAACCTTAAAGAAGCCCTGAGGCCTCCTGTGTGCTACAGAGAAGGCTAGCAAGTAAGGACATGGGATGAGGGACAGGGAGGGGGACTGCTGGGGGCACAGCTGGTAGAGGCCCCGGAGGCACCTTTTCCAGAGTCTGCCCGGCACAAAGCAACAACCTGACACGGAGGAAACGGGGGCTGCAGAGTCAGGGCAGGTCTGAAAGCACAGCCTCACACTAGGCCTGGGAAGAGAGCGGGAGGGAAGCCAGGGTGCCGTGGGCAAAGCAGCACGGCATTCTGGGTAACGCTGCATCTGGGCCTCATGGCTGCCCCTGGTCCCCCTGGCTGGCCTCCTGTAAAGGGACAGGAAAACTGGGTCAGAAAGCGAGTAAGTGATCCTGAAGAAGTGGGAGGCCTAGGTCGAGGTGAGTCTGCAAACCTGACAGGCAGGAGGCACTCAGCCTAGGCAGGGGTCTCTCTTCCTGAAACCTGCAGGTGTCTCTTCCCACCAGCTGTGGACCAGCGTTCGGATGTTCTCAGGCCCCAACGACGGGCAGGCAAGGCAGCTGCCCCTGCTGTGGCCTTGGCATGGGGGTTAAGGGGCGCCCTCCCGCCTCAGCCTCCACTCTGGGCTGTAGGGGTTCAGAGAAGCAGGCCGGGCAGCAAGAGGGGGACGGTCTCATCCACGTGCTGCCGCTGAGTCCAAGGCTGTCACCATCGCCCTTCAGGTTTAGCTTCCTCCTCTGGACAGAGCGAGAAACGGACTGCCTGACTCTGACTTCTTTCAGTTCTGAGGGCCTGGGGATCCAAGATGAGCTGCCTCCTTCGAGGCTGGGATTTTTGGGTAGATGAGGTGCTGGGCAACACCCAGACAAAAGGGTGTGAGTGAGACTCACCGGAGCCCTGAAGATCTCTCCATCGAGTCTGTGCCCAAGTTGAGGTCCAGGTGACAGAGACCAGGCCAAAGGAGACACTGCCCATTAACCTCAACTTAGAGCGCTCCAAGGATCTCAGCCTCGTGAAGGCAAGTCCCTTCTCTGGTACCCCACAGGTAGCCCCAAAGCCCCAGTAGGGCACTCTGCAGTTGTTTCAAGTGAGTGATGAACAGCAGGGCCATCAAGATGCCAGTCTGGGGACCAACAGAGTGATGGCTATGTCGCCGGACTCCGACATAGTCGACCGCGTTTCAAGTCCCGGACCCGGTGGCTTAAACTCACGCCAGGCATGTGTGTGTGCATGCCCAAGATCCCAAGAGGAGAAGGGACTGCGGTATGGCCATCCCCCCTGGGGGGTGATTTCTCGCTTTCTGTCTCTCTCAGTCTGTCTAGCAAGCGCATGCGCCCTATAGCAAAAAGCTCTCCAAAAAATGATGCCGGTCTGTACCTCAGTCTGGCCCACCCTGGCATGGGACCCAGCCCTTCTGGGGCTCCTTCCGGCTTGGGGACCATCTGAGCCTGGACAGGCAGGCCAAGGGCACCAGACAACCTCAGCTTCTCTCTCTGGATGCCTGGAGGAGGGGAGGGGAACTGAACTGCTCTGTCCACCACATGACAGCCCTCCTGCCATCTGGGAACAGCCCTTGGAGAAGGGGTGACCAAAGGTGACCTCCCGGAATCTAGCATTCAGTTCCCAGCCAGCTTCTGACACATCCCCCAAGGTTGATACAGCTCCAAACGCCTCAAGAGGCACCTCCCTACCCTCTGGCCTTCCAGAAAGTCACCAAGCTACATGAACCCAGGCTAGAGCTAGGTCCCAAGTGCAGGGCTCGCAGCAACTTCTTTCCAGAACATGTCCCTCTTAC